CGACGCGGCTGACGCAACCCCGCGTTGCGCGGCAAAAAATCACTTCCTGTGATTTTACGATCGCGGATAGTTGAAATTTACGTATCGCGCGACGGCCATTATCTCTCCATCGATCGGCAACGCCAAACAAACTTTTACCAGCCGCACGCTGCCGCGCACAACCTCGAAACGCGTTTTCCTTTTGTCGTATTCAACAGGTTTCACAGTTCCAGCTGCAATTTTCCCTCTTCTTTCCCTTTTTTTTTATCGCCGATCAAATCCGACGTATTTGGACGAACATTGTCGTAATCTCGGCTCGTAAATCTGACGCGTTGCACCGCGGATCCGACGCCCGAGACTTTCACCCCGTTGTAAATATTAATTTAACGCGTGTATCGTAACACCTCGCGCTGGAAAGCGCGACGTTCCGTCTTAACGGCCCCTGAAATGGACGCAGAAAAAAGACTCGGGAAAAAATTATGTAAACCGCCGGTGTTTTTTCGTCACTCGCCGGAACGCTCGGCGTTTCTTGCGAGGCTCTTATCGGCTCGAGCGTAGGATTTACGAGAATCCCCGGAGTCCCGTGAAAGCGCCGGCAACCTGAGTCGGATCGAACGAGAAAAGTTTAGTTGGGCGTTGCTTTCGAAGTTAACGATGAGCGACGGGATCGATAAATTTCAGCGCGGAAACTTTTCTGCTGGGAAGTTTTGTGAAATTATTAAAACTGCTCGGGTAGCGTCGCGCGGATATCGATGACGCGTGATCGATCGGCTTTCGTGCGCACCGATTTATCTTCGAGGAGAAACACGAACTATGATCGTTTCGGAGCTTGGAAATAAAGTTAACTCTTTGCACTCGGAAGATTCTTACTAGAAATATTTTGACATTTTCTGATGAGTCTAGTATATATATATTGTAATTTCTCTTTGAGTTAGTTCCACAAAATATCGCCTTTATTTCATCAGAAAATGCCAAAATATTTCTATATTATAATAATTATATATTATAATTTTTATATATATAATATAATATAATAATAATAATATAATAATAATATAATATATATTTATAAATTATAATATATAATTATTATAATATAGAAATATTTTGACATTTTCTGATGAGTCTAGTATATATATATTGTAATTTCTCTTCGAGTTAGTTCCACAAAATATCGCCTTTATTTCATCAGAAAATGTCAAAATATTTCTATATTATAATAATTATATATATTGAGAAATATATATATATATGAAATATTTATATATATTGAGGAACAAAGCTATTTTATTTCAATATTTCTCAAATTGATGTCACAGAAGGTATATTAACCCTTGCCTTACAATAACGTGTGAGACTCGTGAACATTAATAGAATTCAATAAACAAACATTACTCGATTCTTCGGAATTCAAATGAAATATTATTCTTCCGTTATTAATTATTATATTACAGAGTAAACGTAGATATAGAATACACACAGAATTTTCCTCTTTTTCCCATAAATAATTACTGACAAGGTTGTATCTATCACAAGTGAAAAATAAATCAGGTAAGGGGTTGAATATAAAGTTTTATAGTTTTACCGTGTGAAATCAGGTGGTGAGTGAGAGTCACCTACCGAGTGCAAACGTTAAATAATGCAAAACTGTTTAGTAATGTAAGTGAATTGATAATAGTCTAATGTAAGAATTACCAAGCTAAATAACTGATAATGGTTTCTATTTATCTTTTCTATGAAAACATCAATGTTACGTAAAACGCTGAAGTATTTCGTAGCAATGAACGTGTTAACAATCGATAATTAATAATTTCGGGGAAAAAGATGATACTGCGTAATAGTAATGGCGGGCAACGAAGGAATCCTCAGCTGGCCGAGCCATTCAGGAATGCTCCGTTTGGTATGAAGGCCTCCGCCGTTCGTTAAGTCAGCAGGCTCGCGTAAAATTAGTCCGTCCGTCGCGAATTTAACCGTTTCAGTGCTAAACAAATGTTGTGGATATATACCAAAAGCGCGGAAGTGATTCGGTGTGCAGGAAAAAGGATCAATAAGAGTAGTTATCTGATTAGATCACAAGTATTCTGTTACTACAGAAAGAATATCAAAAAATGATATTTACTCGAATACATTCACTTCGATTTATTTGTTGAAAATATCGTTAGAAAATTATAATTGATACTGATAAATAGAAGCTGCCAAAGCTGTCGGTAAATAATTTGCAGATTGATTAGCGGAGAATAATTTATCGTGCAATTTCGTCGATTTGTTAACGACGCCTGAGACCAAAATCATGAAATGAAAACTGCAACTAATTTTTGTAGTATTACTAGCGAAAATTAGAAATGCAACATTTCTTCAATCTTTCATTTTCCTTGTTAGTACAAAATTTGGATGTGTGGAAAATCGAATGATTTTAGGGTGGTCTCTTTAAGATTCATGAAAATATTTAATATTGTAACTGGTGCAATATTGGAGCCTACAGAGTTCAAAGGGTTAAAAGAGAATCTTAGGAAATCGTTCGAAGCTTGGAAATCGATCGCTGCGAGAATTGTCGGAGGCAATTTAATTAACATTTTGTGTCTGCGGTATATTAGCATTGCCGGTGAACGCCTTGAAATTGTTAACTGATGAAACGAATTGAGGTTCGTTGACCCTAGCGTGAGTAATTGAAACGTTCACGCTCGTTGAAGCTTAGATATTTATAATTCTATTGGATGAAATTTTAGATGGAAATTCTGCTCGATGATTGTGGGAAAGATTTGATGTTTATTGTGAAAAATGTCCATTTGAAACTTTTGTGCAACATCGTTGCAACTCGGTTAACACTCGATTAACCCTTTGCACTCGGCAGTTTTTCACTAGAAATATTTTAACGTTCGATGATGAGATAAAGACGATATTGTGAAATTAACTCGAAGAGAAATCACACGTACATCGAGGAACAAAGCCATTTTAGTTGAATATTCCTCAAAATGATGCATTATAGGAAATGTAATATTAAATATCAAATTTTATAGTTTTACTGTATGAAATCAAGTGGTGACTGAGAGTCACGATAGGTTACTTTTAGTTTCTTCAGACATTTATTATAACATTCAAGTGAAACTATTTTCAAAATCACTTCGAGTATTCGATGCTTTTAACCCTTTGCACTCAAAATTTTATCACTGGAAACATTCTCCCATTTCCGACGAAACATAGACGGCACTATTTCAAACGGACTAATTAGAAAACATACGTCAATTAAGAAGCAAAGCCATTTCATATAAATATTTCACATATTATACACAATTCAATATTATATATAACACTTTGTAATTCTATTATATCAAATCAAATGGTGACTGAGAGTCACCTTCCGAGTGCAAGGGTTAAACCTTGTGTAACGTATCAACACAAAACATCGAAGTAAAATAGTTCTGTCTCTTATTTTATACAAGATAACCAATCGTGTTAGTTGCGAAAAATCGTTAATATTTCAGAAAGTCAGAATATAAAAGTCAGAAAGTAATGAATATTTTTCATGAATAATTCCGTCGAGTGCAAAGGGTTTCCCTCCATTTTGTATATCTCGCTCTACGAAATCGCGTGGCGTTCAACGTGTTAATAACCGTTTCTCCTATCAACGTTTTCTCGAACTTTCTTTGCTACAACGCAAAGTAAGCAAACGATCGGTATTGTTTCATTATTCCCTTGTTTCTCATGCTTTTTGCCCGCGCAGCGTTACGCTTCGATCTATCGATTGCTTAAACGGCCGACAATGTTAAACAGTGACGTAAACGTTACCGCGTTTTGCACTTCTTTTTACGGGCCGTTAGTAATTCGTTTAACAGTTTTATATTCGCCGTGCTCGTTAAGTTTTCATCGACCCAATTTCAACGTGAATTTACCTTGTTCCCAGGTTTCCGTTCAACGTTTCCACAGTCGGATTCCGAGATCGAATCTAATCTCCAATCGCGGGTGATCGAGTAAACGCCGGAAAAATGCGTGAGTGGTGTGTGGCGTCGGGGCCTGTTCGCAGTTCGCACCGATGGAAACATCGGTTCGCCGATCGAACGAAATTTAGGAAGCGAAAGCCGCCGGCCGGAACAAATTGCTGTCGTAAAATCGAACGCGAACCGTAGGTGCAGAAACGTGAAATTTCGTGTTCGACGGTGATTCCGGAAACGGGCCGCCTCGCGTCGCTATCCCGCGAGCACGGTTCACGTTTCTGGCTGTTCCTTTCGCGCAGATGGTAATCGCGAAGAAAAAAGCCTGGCCAGTTGCTAAGATACGCTTTCATATGCTTCCGACAGGATCGACCCAGATCAAAAGGCGGAAAGCTGTCGGGACTGTTCTCGCGTTGCGTGTCGGAGAAGTTATGAATTGTGAAATGAGACTCGAGCGAATCGCCGGCTTAAATGTTTCATTTGAATCTGTAATGGATTATAGATGGAACTTTGCTAATTACAAAGCTGGAAAAATATTCACTTTGTTCCGAGCTAATTATCCGTTTAACCACTCGCGCTGGAAATGAATTTAGAGATTCGACGAAGTATCGCGCGATGAATTTTCTTTCTTATTTTACGCGGATGTGGACATTAACTCCGTAGGCTCCAATATTGCACCAGTTGTAATATTAAATATTCTCATGAATTTTAACACTAGATTTACGGACGTTTATTCTACACTTTATTCTATTGTTCCTAAAGTTACGTGTTCGTTCGTGTAAATCACGAAAGTTGTAGCTTCGAAACCAAAGTGTTACAACGCGTATTCGTATAATTGCACGAATCGAAATATACTTAAACTGTTAGCAATAGAAGTGTTGGAAGAACCAATCGATTAATCGTTCGATTCTTTACAGAAACTATGGAAGCGCGTTTATCGAAATTTGCAATGACGAAGGAATGATTAAAATGTTACTGCTTTGGTTTATAGGGCTCAAATGTTCAAAGGCCAAAGAAACATTCGGAAATGCAATATAGGGTGAAATAAAATAGAATAATTCCGCATAACTGCTAAGAAACATTCAATCTCACCTGACATCGTGCAATTTCGGATACGAGCATATTCTCAGCGTCTTCGAGTTCGATCCCACGGCGTACAATTTCCCATGGGGGTGGAATTCGGCGCAGCGCACCGCCTGCACGTCCTCGAGCGCCGTCACAGGAACGAATCGCGGCCTGCCGCCGTTGCTGCTGCCGTTGCTGGCGTCCAGTTCCTGCCTCGGCTCTTGCTGGAAACAAAAGCGAACGACCGGTTCGTATATTCGATCGATTAATTGCGATCGGCGTTCGCCGTTCGCGACTGACATTTGCCGGCGCGACTCAAAGCGTCGGGGTTCGATACGATCTCCGCGGTCCAGCCGTCATAAATGTCACCGGCGTCGAACCTGCGTCATCGGTGACGGCCCCTTAATGACTCTTGAATCCGACATTACTGGCTGAACGGCGGTTTTACTTGTCGATCGCCATTTCATACGCTTGACGCGACAGAAAGGTTTCACGGGGGAAACCGACGCGTTAGATTGATGGCGATTTTTACTGGCATTATTGACTTCCATTAAATTCTCGTTAAATGTAAGTTCATTTATCGAAATATACATGCTCGTTCCGTGTGAAGCGTGACATTAACTTCGTTGCAGCGATGTTTCATTGGTAATCTTTCATTTTATTTTAGCGAAATCACGATCGTACGCCTAAGTTCGAGCCTAGTCATTTACTGGACTCAACCTGTGCGATTGTAGGACTGAAGAATCGTTAAATCATGAATTACGGCTTGCATTGTTTCTCCTCTCGCGACAGCGTGCGGCGAACGAGTAAATCATTAGTCTCCCCGTGAATTAGTAACGGCACGAGATCGATCTGCGAATGATTAGAACGACCGTGTAAATAAGCGCGTTGCGGTGTGTTTTTAATGAAACCACCGACACCCGCAGCCATTAAGTTAACGAAGTTCGCTAGAGCGTTCACGTTCGGCGCAATAAAGTCCTTTAAAACGGAGATAAACGTCAATTCCCTTAATTGGCTCGTAAATCGGCGGGATCGCGTAAAAATCCCCGGTCCGGTCCTCGATTTCCTCGCGGGAGGCTAATAGTCGCGGAAGTAGCTCCCCGGAGCGCGCGTGGCATGAATTAACGAATCTTAATGGAGAAAAAGCGGGATTACGGCAACTTTCGTCGGCCGGACGCGATCTTTCTTAATATCTCACTTTTAAACCGGCTGCGGGTGACGTTAAATCCCGAACGACGGCCGTCCCGACCCTTTCTCGCGCGCCGCGGAATAAAAGTGACACGGTCCGAGGACATTTTTCGCCGCGGAACCAGTTCGCTCCGCGAGCAGAGCGGCGCGTTACGAGCAGCGAACGTGACGGGACGACGAAAAGCCGAGGGGAATTAGAAAGTCGGACCTTGAAAGGATTTCCAACGCCTCTTTCCTAGACAATCATGAAATTTATTTGTATGCTAATCCCGCCGGAGCTTCCTGCTCGCGGCGGTTTGTCGTTCGAGTCTCGCGGTTGCGACACTCGCGCACGGATAGCGCAATAGGTATCGACCTCGTTAATTAATCCGGCGATTTTCCCGCTATCAATGTCGATACACGCGCGATTAAATAGAAATTGAAACGATTACGAGTGATTTACGGGGCAATTTGTACGCGTCCGATTTGTGCTGCTGGACGTACGACGAATGTGTTACGTTGAGTTCATGTAGAACTGGATTAGGATAATAGACGGATTGACTCGTTAGATTTGGTTAAGACGATTTTGAGAATTTTGAAGATGTTAACCCTTTGCACTCTGTAGGCTCCAATATGGCACCATTTGTGCTATTAAATATTTTAATGAATAAGTTTAGAAGAACTATCCTAAGACTATTGGATCTTCTATACATCCAAATTTTGTGTTAAGGAAAACAAAGAAACCTAAGAGATGTTAGAATGTAACAGGTTTCATTTGTGCTAGGGATACTATAAACGGATTGGAGTTGTTGATAGATTACAAAATCATCTGGAGTGCTAAGGGTTAATTTTTGATGGGTTAATTTTTAATTCCAATGAACGCGCTTTCATAGTTTCTATAGAGAATCGCACGATTAATCGATTGGTTCGTCCAACACTTCTATTGTTAACATACTTGTTTAGTTTATAATTCAACTAAACGATTTTAACCCTTTGCACTCCAGAAGTTTTTCGTTAGAAGTACTCGATGTTCTTTAATGAAATACCAACGACATTCGAACTGACTTAACGAGAAATCGCACATAAATTAGAGGAGGCTGTTTTATTTTAATATTTCACATGTCGATGCATTGTACAGAGTTTAATGTTAAATGTCAAACTCCATAATTTTGCTGTGTCAAATCAATGTGCGACTGAGAGGCGCCTACGGAGTGCGAAGGGTTAACAATCTTGTAAATAGCGTCTGTGATGGTAGAAAGTGTTCGATTAACCTCGTGCTTCACGAATTTTCCCTTGTTCTCATTCATTGTTCTAAATTTCCCAGGTGGAAAACACATTGTACTCGTTATAGAGGCACAGTCATTATGGAGATCCGATATTCATAAGCGGAAAATAGTAATTACCTTCAATTAGATAATTAAATTCAATGCGAGGTATCCAGCACGAGTTCGACACGATTTTCAAGGGTAGGGGTTGATCTTTCTCAGACAGTAATTATCGCTTCCACGCGATTGAAACATGTTCAATGAAAGAAGAGTATTTTTCCAGGTTCCGTTTTCGAATGTTTTACTATGAGGTTAACCTTTTGTCTTGTGATTTATTTTTCAATCTATATAACTGACTTCTGTATAATTACTTTGTGATTAATGATTTATTGAGATACGTTCTAGGCATATTCTATAGATATGTTTGCTCTGAAGTGTAATATTTGATAACAGAAGAATAATATTTAGTATTTAATTTCTGATTTACAATGTCTAATGTTTAATATTTAATATCCACTATATAAAATACAATATAATATCTAATACCTAATATTTAATATCCAATATCTAAATATTAGATATTTCTAATATCTAATATTTCCAATATCTAATATTTCCAATACCTAATATTTCCAATACCTAATATTTCCAATATATAATATTTCTAATATCTAATTAACATCTAATATGCAATATATAAAATATAATATAATATCTAATACCTAATATTTGATATCTAATATTTAATATCCAATGTCTAAATATTAGATATTTCTAATATCTCATATTTCCAATATCTAATATTTCCAATATATAAAATATAATATACTATAATATCTAATACCTAATACTTAATACCTAATACTTAATATTTAATATCAAATATTCAATATCTAATATCCAATAATTAATCCAAACCCGGAAACAATAATGTTCATCAAATTCCCCTTGATATCACGAGCCCAAAGCAGCACAACAAGACAAAAGGTTCCGTTTTCCGAACGGTTTTCATTCGAATTTACTTCCGGGGCGTCACGGAACGATAGCCTTCTGACGCAATCTCGGCTGGTTCCGCAAAAAGCAGCGACGAGGTCGTCTCGCCGTGCAACCGGTAACGCAGGATAAATAAATTTTCCTCGGACTTTTTCCCGCGGAAACGGCGACTATCCGAAAATGTTTTTCCCCCCAAGCTCGCTTTGCGCAACGTGTTCCGCGCGCCTCGCCACGCTTTTACTTTCGAGTCGCGCGCGAGTTCTTCGGCCGGCGATTATCTCGATCGCGGGAATTAGCAAAGCAAATGGGAGAGACGCTGCCGGTGACCTCCTCTTGGCAAATCGCGGACCGAGAGTGAACTCGTCTCGATTTCACGGCGGGCTGATCAGACATCGTTCTCTCCGATCGCCGCGCCGGAGTCTTCTCCCACTTTCGATGCTTCAGTTATCACGAGATCCCGTTTCTCAGCTCTTCCTCGGATTCTCGGATAAAATATCCGCGAAGACTTTAACACGTTGCGTGCCGGGTGATTTTCAGAAAATTGTAACGACGCCGATTTTCAGTGAGATCGACTTAACCAAAAGTGCCATTAATTAATCCTCCGATTAACACTAGAATTACCGAGCACTGACTTTTTGAAATTTCTCTATAGAAACTTCAAGAGTGTATCTATTGAGACTTTAATTGATTCATTATTCAATTCCTATATTCGCCAAATTAATTTCTTTAATAACTTCCAGAGAATCATCCGTTTTCTTAATAATCGCGAGAAGAAGAAATCTGGAGTGGGCCATTTTGACAAGTATTTTTCCTTAATAATTTCGTAAGTAATGTTTCGTAATTTTTCATATTTTATGTATTTTCTCTTTTTCATCGTCAAGTATTGTGGACGATTTGTCTATTCCAGAAACATTACCGTTATTTTGTTTTTAGCTATAAACATACTGGGGTCTCCCTATAGGATCTCACTCAGTATTTTAACCAGTCAACTGTGTTTGACGAGTGTACACGTCGTCTTAAAACTCTTAATGGTGCTAACTTTTTCAACGATTATTTATTTTTTGAAACAAACATGTAATTCTTCTTCGTTTTGCTTTAGTTTTTCGTCAGGATATATTTCAAGTGCATTTGGCCTGCGTTTGACGAGTACACGCTTCGTTATTTGGTTTTATTGCGCGCCCAATGAGAGATTTTTCAAACTAAATTCCACACTTAACTGATTAATAATTCAGTAGGAAAGAAAAGAGTTTTATGATTATTCTGTATCGATGTTTACTCTATAACTTAAAGATTGATAATAGATAAATAATATTTCATTTATATGGGAAATAAATGAACAACGTCTACGTTTGCTGAATTCGGTTGGAAAGTTTCATCACGAATCTGACTCGATATTATAAGTGAAGGCGTTCTTCGAATGTTTACACTGTATTAACAAGTAGCTCAACACATTGTACGTCAACTAAATTTCAGTTGCTACAAACGTGAGCGTCGATGATTATATTGACAGATTTTTAAACATCAATCAAACCGAAATTTTCAACTTACGAAAAGAATAAATCGATTTTGAAATTTTACTTGAGATTTGTGTTATATCTAAAATGTTACATTAACATAGTGTTAAGTCTATGAGTCGAATTATTTTTCGTGATTATAATAAAATGTAGTATGAAATTAATAGATATCAATCTATAAGTCATTAACGTATTCGATAGCTTTAATAAGTATATTAAAACGAACATATTCTGTAACTTTAAAATGACGTTGAACGTTCACGCGCGTATAAAAGCTCCAATTGA